TTAACAAAAAATGGAAGAATTACGTATTTTGTTACACGAATTTTCTGCACAAATCCTGCTAATAGATTATTGGCTACTTTTAATGTAGCACAAACCCCGGCATAAAATTTCCAACACTGGCTAGAAGGCTAAATCAGATACTAAGCTGGTCCAAAGACCCCCTTTAGACCAGTTTGGACCAATTTTCTCTATACTTTATGTGTAAAAAAACGAATTGAATTAACCCATGTTATAGGTATTACATAAAAAAATATCCCATGCAAAAAATCAAATTGAATTAATCTGCATTATACATATTACATAAAAAAATTCGAATACCTCAACCAAAGAATTAAACAAACCCAGGTACAAAGTATTATTATCAAAAAATGAGTAGTATATTAGGTACACCCGAAATTCTAGAAAATATATTCAGCTATTTACCTACTAATTCCTTAGTTAGATTAACCTATGTTAACAAATTGTGGAGATTAGAGGCCAGGCATAAACTTTATCAAAACCGCACTGAAATTATATATAAAACACTGAAGTGGTTTTTAAGTACATTTAGAATTTATGGAGAAATGCATTCGGATTTAAGATTTCAATGCACCCAATCCTTAATCAAAGTTACAAAATTCCAGCTTGCCTTTAATATCAATCTTAGAACAGAATTATTCATTATAAGAAATCAATTGAAAGTCCAATATAAAGCTATAAAAGCAAAATGCGCTGTTGCAGAAAAGAATTATTTAGAAGCCAATGAGTTATTTTATGCAGATCCAGGAAATGTAGATAAATATGCACTTGCTCGAAGGTTGGAGTTCAAGCATGCAAAGCTGGATGATTATAAATCCTATGTTCATAGGGATTTAATTAACTTTGAATATTTCCTAGTGAGGTATAATTATATTGTAAATCCAGATGAAATTAACTGCATTTATGATAAATGCATATTTTAATTAAAATAATTGAATTATAACCAGATACTAAGATTTTTGATTATTTATAATCTTCTTAGCAAGTTGCAATGCTTTTTTTCGTTCTTTAGCTTTTTCATTTTATTATAAAACAAAATTCCCATGGAATTTGAAATCCTATGGAATACTAATTAAAGGACATTTCTAAAATCATTATTGTTAATTAACTGCTTATTTTTAT